CCCAACCAGGACCAGAGATACCACCCCCTCCCTTAACACCGTGTGCAAGCATTCTCAAGCTTGCAAGGAGACAAAGAGACACACCGCACGCCAATCCCCACCAGGGACCGACTGTCCACCACTTGCTCCAGGAAGAGCAAAGCAAGGAAAGAACCCATTCCCTGCCCGTCTCCCCGCCCCCCAATTTCAGGTCTCTACAGAGATCAATCTCCCTCAAAGGACAGCTCCCTCCGACGATCCCATGTCTTGCTCTGTGCTGTGTGTTCCGTCTAATCTCGGAGCGGCCAGGGACCTGATCTCTTCCCTCCATTCCCACGCCTGCTCATTAACTGACCCGGAGCACACTGCCCGGCTTGGTCACTACATGGTGGAGGGGAGGACACACTATGCTGTCTTTACGGCGGCAAAGGACAGGCACTGCAATCTCTATGTTCCAGGAGCCGTTTCTGAAACAGACGCTTTGATTCAAGACCGGGACCTTGTCCCGTCATGAAACGATGAGTTGTTTTGAAATCACCCGTGATCTATGGTCTTTCCCCCAAGGAATGACAACACCTTCCCTGTTTTTGCCCCTGGCCAAATCCAACTCTCTGGGAGAGCCCTCAGAAATGGCTGACCTACACCCAGACTTCTAGCCCTCCTCCGTCACCCACTCCACAGCCAGTGTGTTTGTCTACAGCGCTTTCCAGCCAGCCAACGCCTCTTGCTGAAACCAATGCTCACAGGTTCCCATTTCTGGACTAGAGACATCAGTGCAGTGCCTGGGCCAAGCCCGAAATCTCTTGTCAGAATCAGGGGACCAACGTTCATGGTGAAGACGGGCCCTTCAAAAAGTCCATGGGGTCAATGCCATTATCTCTCCATTCTATTTTCCCATGAACTTTCGGGGGGCCCTTGCAGACCCAGCACAATGGGGGGTGAGGCAGGGTAAGATATAGGCTCCAAGGGAGTAAAGAAGTGGGACACCCTAAATCCAGCCTGCGGATCCAGTCTTGCCCTGCAGTTCCAAACAGCCAGCAACGGATCCTTTGACTCCACTGAATTTCCTCTGGCTCTGCCCCTTCTCCCACACCGGAGGCCATGGCCTTCTGAGACAAGTCTCCGTCCACCACCAGAAGAGACCCAACTCCTGCCGCTCCTGTTCTTGCCGCCACCGCTGCCACCATTCGGAGAACCTGACTTCCCTAGCGGCGACGGCAGGTTGCATCTTGAGCCCGCCGGGAGTCAGAGAAAGGTTGCGAAAACAGTTCCGAAAGAAGCGTTCTTACCCTTAACATAGGTCTGAAAGGATCTGTCAACTGTGAAGAGAAAATGACAACTCGGTTACACGCCTGTCACTCAAACAATTGCTCTAATTAACAAATTTGTAGTGCTTCATTAGGAGGGGAAATTAAAATGTTAGAATTTTACTTTTAAATGAAGCCCTTTTAGAGAATAATTAACCCATTTTCACACTATCAAAAGTGCCACTCGGGCCCCCCCATCCCCACCCCCACCCCCGAGCTCGGGTGCTTTCTATCCTGAGAAGTCCCAGAACAAGTCCAATCAGCAGCAGTCTGTCCCCGGCTATGTGACTCACTCGCCTGCACACAACGAGGCAGCTCACGGGCAATCCTGCTACCCCCACCCCCCCGCGGGGGCCCAGGGAGAAAGGCTTTAGATCAGAGCCTTTTCAGACTGGCTACTCGTAGGTATCTGGGGAGGGCTGCCCTTTCAAATACGACAGGTCCCAAAGCCGAAGGGGCCCAGGTGGTCGAGTGGGTCCCACCGTAAGGTCAGCAGTTCGAAACCACCAGCCACTCTGGAGGAGAGATTTATAGCTCTGGAAACCCACAGGGGCACTTGTGCCCTGTCCTAGGATTGATACGATTTGTGAATTTTCTCAACGGCAGTGTGTTCATGGGACCAGAGGAAGGGTCTGGACGAGATGGACACAGCAGCTGCCAACAATGGGCTCAAACGTAAGAGCCATTGTGAGCATGGTGGAGGCCCGAGCGGTAGTCCTTTCTATTGTGCATACAAGGTCCCTATGGGCTGGAATGGATTCGCTGGCACAGAACAACAAGCAGGTCTATCTTTACCAATTCCCTTAACTTGAGGACTACTTATTTCTACTAGGGACTAGACATTTTTAAAAGATGTTCCCCAGACCTCGTAGTGAAAACAATTTATGTGGATGAATCAATTAGGCACTTTTATTTTACTCTGGGCATCCATTTCTGCCCTTAGCAGGGGAAAAAACCACAATCTTATGCAAGGCAATTCGTCTAAGCTCAACTTCACCTATATTATCGAATCACCAAAATCCAGACTCACGGCTACCAAGTCGATGCCGGCTCAGTGACCCTACAGGACGGCCGCTGTGGGTTTCTGGAGCCGTCCTGTATGGGAGTAGAAAGCCAAGTCTTTCTCACACAGAGGAGTGGGTGGTCTCTAACTGCTGAGCAGTCTCTAACTGCTGAGCGTCTGCCTAGCAGTCCAGCTCACAAATGTACTAGCACTCTCAGGCCTTCTTGGAGGTTGGTGGAAGAATCGCTGTGAAGAAACAGTAGCACCGACCCCAACAGACAGATCCTTCCCCCAAATGAAAGAGGAGGGCCACTGTTTGGTCTCACTTCCAAGAGAGCAGGAAACAGAGAAAAACCAAGTCTGGCTCGTGGTTACCAGGGTGACCACTAAGCAGTGCCCTGGGGGGCACTGAGTTGATGTTCCTGGCGGTGGGATGTTGTGGGAAAAGATAGCAAGGGGGTTGCGTGACACCGGGTGTCATCAGTGTCAGGGGACTGTACGTGTAGGAACTGTTGAGTTGGTGTATGTCTTTGTTGTTGCTTCCCCTAAAGGAACCCTGGAGGCATCGTGGCTCCCAGTTGGGCTGTCCACTGCAAGGCCAGCAGTTCGAAACCCCCAGCCACTCCTTGAGAGAAGACGGGGTGGTTTCTAGCCTGTCCTGTAGGGCTGCTGTGAGCCGGCATCGGCTCAACGAGGCAGTGAGTTGGGCTCGGTTGAGCTTTCAGTACAAGTGAAAAAGTTAAGGTTGGGGCAGAGGGGTGGCAGGATAGCTCTGTGTTGTTATTTCTTGACACACACCCCCGAGCCCACCACAAACTTTGAAGGGGTGAATCCTGATTTCCAGAAAGAAAAAGTGCTTTGTGCTGTTCTGATCAAAACATTTGCCAGCCAGTGCTTTTTTTGTGGGGGGCACGTGAGGTGAGGGCAGACAAGACCTGGCACAAGCCCGGGGAGCGCAGCTCCTGGGCCCAGGGCCTCAGCAGACTTTCCCGCTAGGAGGTTTCTTTCGCTGGGAGGCAGAGCGCGCACCAGAGGCTTGGTTTGCAAGGAGGAGCAGCGAGGCAACATCTCCCTCGGCTCCTGGGTGTCGACCAGCACGCCCAGGCAGTCCCCGGGACCAGGCTCGACTTTTGACTCTGCACGTACCCGAGGGTCCTTCTGCAGGAGCGTGTGCGGGACCGTCCCGGGGCGAGCGGCAACATCGATCGGGTTGGATGTCTGCAAATGAATGAGGTCACAGTTTAGGGAGCCCAGAACACGTGCATACAAGCAAGATAGTTATGCTGAACGACAGGCGCCAAACCTGGGCCTCTGGTTGGTGTCGTTCAGACTCATTGTTCTCCGTGGCCACACTTGCTCTTTATGAAGGATTTACGGATCTACTGCCCATGCTCTCTAGCCACACTTGACCGGGAAAAGCGCTCTCTAGCAAGGGCATCTAACAGTGAGATTGATGCCACCGCATTCCCACTGGCCCCCCCAAAGAGAAGGACCACCAAGAGAAGTAACCGATGCACACACTGACCATGAAATGCTGCTGCTCTTTCCAACTTTTGTGATAGGGTTTACAGTAATTTCTTTCTCTTTCTTTTCTTTTGCTTTATCATCAAACATTCTAAGAAATGCTTAAGTGAACATCATTATAATTTGTAATATCAGGTGCCTCTCATCAGAAAAACGGGAAAGTATTTTGCAGACAATAAGCTCACATTCTAAGTTTTAACTGGCAGACAATCACAAGGAATTACACTCAGTAATTACTCATTAGCGGTGGTGGAAATGGGACAAGAGAACCTAATTTAGGGACCACGCAGATCTACTATTAAATGATTTCAAGCAATTCTGCTTCATCTTGAGTAAATTGTTCCTATTCCCAGTGCCGTTCTTAAATATCACTAATAATATTAACCTGATCTGTAAGCTTCTGTCCTTAGAGTTTGGTGGCAGGAAGAACGGGGGCAGGCAGGGAGGGGCGGGGGAGAAAAACCATGCCAACTTCAGGCACACCATCATAGTCATTTGGAGAGGAAGGGGAAATTCAGAAAACCACACCAAGCATTTTATTTATAAATCACCGCTTCAAAAGCCCCCGGCCCACCACCAGGAAGTGAACTCTCTTGGAACAAGAGCTCAAGTTTAGGCCCTAAACTTGCCTACAAAGAAGAAAAAAAAGAAAAAGAAAAAAAGGGGGGGTTACAAAAAAATAAAGAAAAGCAATCAGCTGCAGTACAACTAACAATTAAGCCTGAGTTGTTAACAGCCTGATTTGCATACATATGAAGAACTCCACTAATGAACTGCAATCTACATATTCAATCAGGAAGATGGCCTAGACAGGCCTATTTCGACACCAGGAGAGACACTTTCTTGCCCAGATGTAGTTTGCTGTGTGATTGGGTAATTGTGAGTGAGGGAAATGGTCTAATTTATTAAATGACCTCACGGTCTGTTTGGGGAGGCACAAGAGGTGCGGGGCGACCTAGAAGGGACAGAGGGGGTGGGGCGGGGTGGTCTGTGGGAGAAGTGAGGAGTGAGCTAGGGGAATGGAGTTTCAAAATCATTTTATCCCAAGACAGGAGGTGGTTCAAAAAAACCAAACAAAAGGAAAAAACCCTGTGCGTAGAAAACGTGCACAGACCGTCTGGGGCCTTCTGGATGTCTCTCCACGCAGGTCAGTCTGATCGCTGAGGCACGCTATCTCACACCCCTCGGCCTGGTAGGGTTTTCGTTGTTGTTGTGTTTTAGAGCCCTTTCCCACTTCCAGTTTCAGGGCAACTGGTCTTTGGAAATGCTAGTGCTTCTTAGGAGATTCTGCCCCAATCTGGTTATTCTGCCTGAAAATGAGAGGTGAGGACCCAGCCCCCCAAACCCCTAAACGAAATCACACATGATCTAGTTTCCTACTTCAACGTAAAATAAAATAAGGTGGCTGTTGATGCCAGCACCATTCTGGATGGTCTTCACTCAGGTGACCCGAGGCACACCATCATGGGACCCTGGCGTTTTCAGGACGTGGATTGCCAAATCTGCCTTCCCAGTCAGTGCTGGCCTGCAAGCTCCCCTGAAATCCCTCGGGCAACCTGGCAACATGCAAGCCTTGCCTGACAGATGGTTGCTGCGGGGGGTGGGGGGTAGACTTCGGTGGCTGTGCATAGACACATTTGTTGGCTGAGAACTGAACGGAGCTTCCCACGTGGAAAGGGAGAATTCTACCACTGAATTCCCTCTGCCCTCCTGCCACTAAAGCTATGGTACCTACCTGAGAAGCACATCCTCCTTTTTGGGTATGAAGGCAGACTGGGAACTCTGCTAGGGTGGAAGTCACCCAGAGGTCAAGGTTCTGAGAAGGACACGACACTGACCCACAGAAATGACCGCAGCCCCTCACAGGCACAGCTTGAGCCCCGGCCGAGCAAGGAGTGAACCAAGCTGCTAGCAGCCGAGGGACGGAGCGCCAGCTTTGGCAAGTGTGACTGTGGAAGCGGGTGGAAGGGCTAAGTGAGAGCAGAAGCAGACATCTGCAGGGAAGGTAGGAGGCTGCCCTCCTCTTGAAGCCCAACCTGCCTGCTGAGGACGCCAATGAGGCTCTCCCCGACACAGTTACAAGGCAGAGTGGGTTTCATGGTAGGTTGCTAATCCCATGGTCACAAGTTTGAAACCACTAGCCTCTCCTTGGGAGAAAGATGAGGCTGTCTGTTCCCCTAAAGAGTTACAGTCTTAGAAACTCACAGGGATGGTTCTACCCTGTCCTATGAGTTGGAATTGACCCGGTGACAGTGAGTGAGGTTTCTGAGTTTCTGAGTCTGGGGGATGTTGTTGTTCTTCTTTCTCTTACATTTAACAAAGACTCCGTTTTGAGCTTGGGCAAATAACACATGCGGGGGATTCGATACGTTTTGGGCAGGGGAGGGATCCACTGTCTTTGGATCGCATTTTCCCACCAACTTTTTGAGCCATCTTCAGATACCTTAAGGTCCTAAAATTCCAGAATGGAAACTTAAATCCACAGAACTTGTGGGAGGGGGCGGGTGGAAGCACGCATTTTGAACATTTTTAATCAGCACAGAGCCCTTGTTGAGCTGCTCCATCGAGAGGACCCACACTGAGGATTCAGTGGCGGCTGAGATTCTCAGTGACCCGGAAAAGAAGGATGCTTTCTCCCTCTGATCCTCTCTCAGCTGTCCACCAGGGGATCAGAAGCCTTGGGTGCTGAGCCAAGGAGAGGATGCAGCCCCTCCCCTTACGCTCCTAGCCGGGGAGCTGACACTGAGCATGCTGTCTGCTTCCTCTGGTCTGGGCTCTTACCTTCGGTTGGAATGCTCCTTGCAGTGACCCAAAGGGCCCAGTGGGTGGGATCATGGGTGGGATGCCCGAGACTGCAGGAGGGTAGGAGTGGAAGAGCTGTGGCCAGAGACGGAGAGGGAAAACAACAGTTTAGTAGGAGGCAGGGGGTCATTTTCGAATCCCTTCCCGAGTAGAAAGATCCACATTCGCAAGCCAAGTAATCTCGGTGACGTGCGATTAGTCACAAGGAGCTGGGGTGAAGTGATCACACAGATGCGTCGGGAATGTTTAACTGAAAAAGTTAAAAGTAGTTCAGAATCAATCAGCCAACAAATGACGTCCCAGATGAGGCCATCAAGGGGGATGAGAGCCTTTCTAATTATTAATTGTTAAATTGGATAGAAGGGCCTAAATGCTTTGAGATTTTAATGCAGATCCTTAACAGGAGGAATGCTGAGCCAAGGAAGATGCCCAGAAAATTACAAGTTAATTAGAAAAAAAGAGAGAAGGAAAAAAAAAAAGCACAAAATTTTAAAAAAAGCAAGTCTTTATGAGTTCCAGCACTTTAGACCATTAAAACTTAATTAGTACCTTTAGGTTTTGTTTTTTAATAGTTTGTGGAGGAAATGAGAAGATATTCACAATCCTTGCTTCATTAAGTTATTCGAGAGGTGGCAGTTACAGAGGAAAACAGAATCCTTGCCACAAATGGTGACAGATATCTTGAGACAGGGTGACGCGAGAGACTGAATATATTTCCTGTGGGGAGACCCATCTCCACCCCCACCTCCCCTTCAGTTGAGGGGCCCCAGTGGTGTCGTAGGTGCACAGTGGGCTGCTAACGGTAAAAGCTGAGCACTTTGAAATCACCAGCTGCTCCGTGGAAGAAAGACGAGGCTCTCTACTCCCGTGAAGAGTCACAGCCAGCCTCAGACACCCACAGGGGCAGTTCTAGCGTGTCGTGTAGGGTCGCTGTGTGCCAGGATTACTCTACTGCAGCAAGATAGCAGGGTGCTGTCTTGTGGCCAGTTATGCTGGCCGCTTCCCAGAGTCTGGGGTCCCCAAAGCATTTCCTCGTTGGCCGGTGAGGACAAGCAGGGCCCTGTGGTCCGTTCTGAATGGCACCTGTAGTTTACACACAGGTTCTGGGAGACTGCTCTGGCCAGGTCCCTTGGCAGGTCGGCCTGACCGTTCAGTGGCAGGGAAGCAGGATTCCGAAGGTGAGGAGATGTAAATTCCTAGCATCGGGAGCTAACCGAAGGCACAGCGGAGGGAAGAAATCAAACACAGCCGCGCCGGAGGCCATGAGAACACGGCCTGCCCTCTTTCTAGAAACCCAAGTCTTTCAGTCATTCTCTTGCTCGGGGCTACACGGACTCGGAGCAGAACACCTTCTGGATAGTTCTGCGGCGCCCTACTCGATCTTTAGATGTGAGGGCAGTGTCAGAAACACCACCAGATGGCAGCTTTTCTTAATTCTGTCATTTCTACACCTTCTAGGCCCCGGTGGAAATCGCGAAGTGTTCTGCCACCCTGTTTTCAGAGCACGCACGATCCCCCTGCACCTCCTCCCAGCGGTCTATATTCCTCTTTTGCTCCCTTCAACGATGCAGGGAGGTTTTCCAGACTAATTGATATTGAACTAAACCCACTTACACAGTGATTGCAAGCCAAGTGCCCTCATTTAAAACTACTTTTAAGTCTAAAATGGTGTTTTAGATACTTGAGCATTGCATCTTAATTCCCCTTATCATGTCCTAATCCTCGATGCAGGGGGGCCTCAGCTCTTGTGCTGTCACTCATCCTATGAGAGATCTCCGCCAGGGCACACCTACGAAGCAGAGCGATTAAGCACACACCACGCCAGGCGCAAATCTCTACTACTCTGCGTCCAGGGTGAGAATTTCCCTTTGGTGTTTTCATGGGCCACAAAATAAAATAAAATAAAATAATGTTCCTATTGCTTCCCTTTGGCCTTGATCTTCTATGGACCTCTGAGAATATGGTAGGCTGCTATCTCCGTTGACGGAAGACCTGAATTGAACCCAAGATTGCAACTTTGAGTCCTCCAGGCTTAAACCTGTATCTTTCTGGCAAAGGTGCAGGCTGCCTGCTCCTGGCAAGTCTCTGGGAACCACCTGTTGGGCATAATAGGCTTATTCATCAGAATGATGTTGGGAGCAGATCTTGAGCCATAGGGCGGTGAGCCGGATAGCAAAGGTGGCAAAAGCATCATGGGACAGACCCAAAGAGGAGAAACCCCGGAGTTCCCTCCATCCTGGCTGTCTGTGGACGACATGCTTTCCTCTCGCAGTGATCAGGGGCCCTGGTGGAGCACAGGGTTATGAGCTGGGCTGCTGACCATAAGGTCAGTGGTTCCACCAGCCGAGGGTGAGGGAGGAGACTTTCCACTCCTGCCAAGATGGACAGCCTCGGAAGGCCAAAGGGGCACTTCTACTCTGCCCTCCAGGGTCACTGTGATTCAGAAAGGATCGCCTGGCTGTGCAGAGTACTGGCACGAGGGGCACCAAGCAAGTTGACTTTTCTAACTCGGATGTGCGGACGTCTTCCTGATGCTAACTCCCAATGGCTTCTCAGTCAATGATCTGCTCCTGGACTCCTGGGTCTGTTTGAGTCTTCCCTTCTCAGGGACGGTCAGGACGAAGCGAGTTTCTAACGACCTGGCTCAAAGGGCAGCTGACTTCACAGGCCTTGTTGTTGATCTCCTAAGTAGCATGTTGATGACCATAAGGCGACCTAAACCTCCACACCAGACCCGGCTCGAGGGTGCCGAGCCCTATGCCGAGTCGAAATGATTACAAGCAATGATCCTTCTCCCCCTTCCCCATTTGATTGGGAAAAAAAAGAATGAAAATAAGTAAATAAATAGAAATAAACCACCGAGCAAAGAAACTTGCAAACCTGGGGTAAAAAGGATGCAGTATTCATCCCGTCATCAAAACACCACCGGTTGGACGGCTCTAAGACTCTGTATAAAAGCAGCTCCCCGCTGTAAGTCACAGAACATCCAGGAATGCAGCAACTTAAATTCCAAAAAGTTACTCTTCAATTTGCATAAAGAAGAGGCAAAATAAGTTGTGTGTGTTTTTATGTTGTAGGAACAGAACCTCCTCCCTTTAAAAAAAAGGGCGGGGAGGGAAGACATGAGTTTAATGAGAAAAATTGCATTCCTTGAATTCTTCAGACTTTTATAAATGGAAGGCTATTATTTTTCTGTTCAGTTGTTAACAAAGGTCAGGAGATCGGGCCCTGGACTCAGGCCCCTAGGAAGAGGGTTCGCATTCAGTCTAGACAAGCTGGAAATTTGCATTTGGGGAGTAAGTAGGAGTCTGAGAGACCAGGGACTTTCTACTGGGACGCAGTCACGGAATGCAAACGCTAGGATTGCTGAGTGCCATGCTGTGACTTCCAGCTCTCCTGGAAAGCAAACAAACAGAAGAAACGGGGGTGCTGACACCCCAGGGCCAGGCCAGCCCTGCTGACGAGTCTGGGGAGGGCTTCTCTGATCTTTTGACTTAGGAGATAATACTGCACCCTCAACCCCACAGCAAAATGCCACACGAGCCACATTCAGAGATGAGGATGGTGGGGGTGGGGGGGATGTACATGATTCTTGCAAACACGAGAAAGGAAGGCTGCTTAGTTACATACGGCTGTGTGACGAGCACCCAAATAAACGAGAGAACTAAATAAAAATTAAAAAAAATAACGAGGCAGCAGGGACAGTCAATAGTAGCATGGAAGCTCAACTCACGCTGTGCCGGTAGAAGGGGTCAACTTTGGTAGGATATTTGTCAAACTGTAAAGGGACCAAAGCAAAAACTAGTTACTTCCAGAGCCTGCCGGATTCAGCTCATTGCTTCAACAGAGGCCACCCACCCTCAGGAAGCTCGCCCCTCTGTCACGTGGCTGTCACCAAGGCTGACATGCGAGGACGGCTCATCAGCCACTCGGACAGGAGAACGAGCCTCCTGGAGAAAACCAGTAGAAAACCTGCCAGGCACACATTGAAGTCCCGGCCATACTCTTAGGCCTTCCTCCCCGTCCTGTATGTTGGGACTGATTGAGACGCCAAACGGAGGGGTCCTGGTGGCCCAGCAGGTGAAGTGTCGGGGTGCTCCAAGGGAAGAAAAAGGCGTCTGTCTGCTCCTGCCAAGGTTTACATCCTCAGAGAACACCAGGGAGCAACTCCTTCCAGTCCTGAGGGGTCGCTGTGAGTCGGAACTGAGCGGGCAGCTGTGGTTGTGGCTTGGGCATCTATGTGCCAAACGTCTAAGGTTGGATCAAAGAGGCGACTGACTCAGAGAAGCCAGGGAGATGTGGGGATTTCGCCTGATGTTGTAGCCACAGACACATTGGACCTTCGTCTGACCTGCAAAATTTATCATCTACCTGGACACAGAGCCCTCTGGCAGACCTTAGGACCTGCCTTCCTCAGGGCTGCTTCCTCAGGGAGAATGACTCCTCAGGGCGGGGTTGGGGCAAGCCTAAAGTGCACGCGCTCCGACTGTGGGAGGCCACTGTGCAGCCAGTGGCTAGTACTTGGGAGCGGCACATGCTCTTTCCCCCACAGACGGGGCCCTCCCGAAAAAGGCCAAGGACCAAGTAGAGCATCCAGACAGTAAGGGGTAGAATCTGTCCCCCAGGAGAGTGTCCTTTGCCCCCCAACAAGGGGGTTGAAGCCAAGTTCAATCGAAGAAAGGCCTGTGAGCATCCGGAAAGAAGCCAGATTTGGTCTCACAAAACCTACATGAATTGTCTTTGAGATCAGCCACTTCCTAAAAAGACTTTAAAAATCGAGCAGACCAACCACTGATGCTCCCTGATAAGAGATAGGGCTCTCTATCAGAAGAGATAGCATTTGAAAACACCGTTATTCATTATAGTTCCCAATTATAGAAAAGGAAGAAAGAAAGAAAAAGTCCCAGGTGGCACCCACGGTCCATGTTACCTCCAAATTTAGAGAAAGGGTGTAGGTAGGTCCACAGGTAGGGTGGAGCTACCTGTTGGTCTCTGGGGTGTGATCAAGCCAGACCCCTTACTGACACAGAGCAGATCACTGTACTGGGTAAGTGTTTTATAAAAGACGAGAAACCCATCTCCCCAAAGTAGGTTTAAGGGAACCCCTGAACAAGTAGGTGGTTAACACATTATCCAAGGCTCCTGATAGGTCTCTTCCTCTTTCTCCCCCATCTCATCTTCCTGACTCCCCATCTTCCAGGCATTTCTTTGGTAGCATTTGGTATTAAGGCCCAGAGAGAGAGAGAGAGAGACAGAAACACACACACACACACACACACACACACACACACACACACACACGGTGGCAATCCTTCAACATGTTCAAGCCAACAAAATCTGCCTCCAGGAAGTTACAGACCAAGGCTGGCTGGGGTAGTCTTGAAGGCCCCCCGGCTGTGGGAGATGGAACTGTCTAGAAAGGGCCTACTTTGTGCCAGGTGGAGGAGTTGTCCAGAAGGTGGCTCTTCACCTGGTCAACCAGGAGATCGCTCCCCCTTCCCCACCTTCAGTGTCTCTCACACCCCCTCTGCCCTCCTGTAGGTCCTGCCAGGCCTCCCCGCCCACACCCCACACCCTGCAGCCGCCCCTGCCCCCGGGCGGCAGGGAAAGTGTGCTCAGTGGATCCTCACATTTCTGCCTGGGGTACGCACCATGGGAGGTGCTGGCGTCGGCATGATGGCGGCGGGCGGGATGGCGTGGGGGAACGGCGTGAAGGTGTGCTGGTGGGTGTGCTGGTGGGTGTGCTGGTGCTGGTGTTGGTGCTGGTGGAACTCGGTCCGCAGGTAGGGCGGAGGGCCCAGCGAGGCCCCCCGGTCAGCACTCTGAGAGGCCAGAAAGCGGGTGTTCAGTTCTTGTCGCAAGATGTCTTGCTCTGGAAAACAGGGAACCAGCAGAAGGGTGATGTCCCTGTTCTCGCAGAGAAGGGGCGCCTCCTTCAGAACAAGGCGTCCGAGGGCCCTTCCTGTGGAGATAGATGGCAGGACCAACGGAGCCGAGACCGGACGGGGCAGGCGCTGAGGGAGACGGTTGTCATCTGACTGTCCCGCTGCCCCCTCCCTGTCAGAGGTGACAGAGCCCAGGCCATGTGTGCCTCTGTTCCGGTGGCCGAGTGACCATGGGTTCAAGATGTCACCCACCCGTGTCCCCGTTCTTCATCCCTGAGATGGGGGGCAGGGGCACCTGGGCCTCAGGGGGCTGCCTGCTGCCCCGAGGGGACCAGAGCTGTGAGGTGCTGAGAACAACGGCCACTTTACTCAGTGTCAGCTCTGTGGGGCCGGCCGCCCCCCGCCCCACCTCCGTCAGGGTCACCGCTGTCCCGCAGCCCTGTGAGTGATGGGCCGTGGTGTCACTGGGCTCAGATCACGGTGTGCTTCACACACGGGAGGAGAGGAGGCCCAGCCCTCTACGACCAGGTCTGCCTCTGAGCTTCTGGGGGACACAAACAGGCTTCAGAAAATGGGTGCACAAGTGGGATGGGGAGAACGGGATTTTCTCAAGAGCTCTTGAGGTTCCTAATTGGGGCGTTTTCTTTGACCGAGAAGTGGGCCTCTAAAGCACAGTTCATTGACATGGCCTGCTGAAACTTCATTCGCTGGAACCGGAGGGAGGGGCCAGGTGCTAGGGCATGCAGAGTGTGCACACCCAGAGGGTTAGCTTAGCTGGACACACCTTCTTACTTCACACAAGCCCGTTCTGTCTGGGCGGGGTCTGACTCAGCAGGGCAGCACTGGGCACAGGTCAGCGTGGGGGCTTACAGGTATTTTTCTGAACCTCAGATCAGAGAGGAGCGAAGGAGGTGGAAACTACGGAGAACCTAGCCACCCGGGGAGATCTGGGTTGAACCACCAGCGAGTGTGGCCAGGCGCACGGTGCGGGAGGGCGGGAGGGGGCTGACCTACCTGAGTAAGTGCTCCCGGCTGGATGTCCAGGCACCTGCAGTCCCCCTGATGTCAGCGGTGGTGGTGGAGGCAGAGCCGTGGGAGGGGCAAACATATTGGGGTGATGGGAGTGCGCGGGGGGCTGGAGGGTGGGGGTGAAGCTGTGCAGGGGGCTGTGGTTGGGCAGCGCGAGGGGGAACGGGGAGGCTGAGGGGTGGTGGGAGATGTGAGGAGGGGCGGGCTGAGTCTTTGCGGGGGTGCTGCTTCGGCTGCTGCTGTTGGGATCAAAACACCAGGAAGTGTCAGCCAGTTGTAAAGACTCTTCTCCCCATGGCCCCCAGCCCCCCCATCCCATGCTCTCTCTTGCCCCCCCCCTCAATCTGGCAAGGCCTCCGTGGGATGTACCCGCAGGCTCTACACCTTGCCAGCTTCCCAAGGCTGCAGGACCAAACTGGACTGCGGTGCCTTCTGCTCACCCCCACCCCCCAGGGTGCCCTGAAGATCCTTATTCTTTACAAGGGCTCCACCTCCCCAATGGCCACTCCTCTGTACCCCACTGATGGGTCGTCTGAGCCTCTCTGTGTTCTCATCTACCAGGACACCCCCTCTGGGCAGGGCAGGGCAGTGGCTGCGGGCAGGAGGCTCACCTTAAACTGTTGAGGCTTAAGCTGCTGCTGTTATAGGCAGACAGAGGCTGGGACAGGCTCTGAGTGGAGGGGTGTGCCTGCACAGGCGGGGGGTTCTGATGGAGCAGCTGGCCGGGGGTCTGGGGCCGGGGGTGCCTCTGGGCCTGAGGTGGAGGCGCGGGCTGCAGCTGGGCCTCTGGGGGGGCCTGCGGCGGCTGCGAGCTTGGAGGTGGGGGCTGAGCAGGGGCCTCGGGGCGCGGCACTAGGTTGGGGCGCGGCGACGGCGCCCGGGGCTGGGGTTCGGCAGACGGCTCCGCGGGGAGCGGATGAGGAACCTGGGGACAGGGGCCTTTCAGCACTGCCGGCTCGAAGACGGACTCTTTGCCGCCGTCCTGACTCTTCTCCTGGCTTCGCTCTAGGCCCGAGATCTTGGGGACAATGGGCCCGGCATCCTGGCCATTGTGTCCGGGGAGCGTGCCAACACCGAGCTCAGGATCTGCCACGAGAGAGAGCAGAGAGAACACACAGGCCGTGAGGACACGGGACCATCGGGATACCCCACACATGCACGCCCACCGACTGGGCCCCTCCCCTGGCGGCAGAGGGGCCTTGGACCCCAAGCTGCAGCACTCGCCCACTCCCTGCCATCAAGACCATGCTGACTCCCAGTGACCCTCTAGGACAGGGTAGAACTGCCTCCTGGGGGTTTCCAAGACTGTCACTCTTGGCAGGAGTAGAAAGCCTCGTCTTTCTCCCAAGAAGCAGCACGGTGGTTTTGAACTGCTGACACTTTGGATGCCAGCCCAGTGCATAACCACGATGCCACCAGGGCTCCGTAAGCTGCCACACTACACAGGGCTCAAAGCCAAGGCCATCCGAGAAGCTGCCCAGGCCGGGCCAGCCTGCCCAGGACGGCTTTCTTCACCCTGACTCTTTCTTATGGAGCAGAATAAAAACCCCCAAAGCAGAGGGGTTCACCACTGCCTTTGCAAACAAATATACACGTTCTTAACACACAAGGAAGCTGCTACAATATAACGAAGACCACGTTGCTTCTTGGCCCTTCACGCCCCAACCTCAGTCCCGCTTCCAGGCTGACACCTGAGACACACTTGACATTTGCAGAGAACCGTTTTGTGCCCGTTTTGTGGGGCACGTGCAAACTTCCAGGCCAGAGTCAAGCATATCCAGCGTTCCCCACAACCCCGAGACCAGAGGTGCCAAGGATGCCCATCGCCTTTACCAAGTGTGCGGGCTGTACCATTAGGCCAATCCTCCATTACCTTTTCCTTCCGTTTGTAGTTTGCAAAGCAATGTCTTGGCAATAAATATAGACTATCTCCTCACTGCCACAGAGCCTGTAGGACAGGGTGGAACGGCCCCTATGGCTCTCCAAGACTGTAACTGTTTACGGAAGTAGAAAGCTCTGTCTTTCTCCAGAGGAGTGGTTGGAAGTTTTGAACTGCAGACCTTGTGGATCACAGCCCAAGTGTAAGCACTATGTCAAGAAATAGCCTTCTTCAAACACGAGAAAGATGAGGCTTTCTGGTCAGAAATGACTTAAGAAGAGAAAGCAAAGGAGCCCTGGTGATACAGTGGGTGATGCATTGGGCTGCTAACTTCAAAGTCAGCAGTTCTAAACCACCCGTCACTCCTCAGGAGAGAGACAGGGCTTTCTACTCCCATAAGGACTTACAGTCTCAAGAACCTACAGGGGCAGTTCTGTCTGGTCCTATAAGGTTGCTATGGGCCAGCATCCACTTGATGGCAGTGAGTTTGGTTGGGTTTAGAACACAGAACAGCCCAGAAATTCTACCCGCACCAAACACAGCAGAGAGAGGCCATGCCTTTTACCCAGAGAGACGTTCTTCTTGCACACATAGGGCCTCTTCTCCCCACAGAGTCACTGCAGGGTTATCATGCTTGAGGGTTTGGCAAAAACCACGCAGGCTTAGCCTTCTGTGCTGCCCTGCCTGCTCTGCGTGGGGGAAGGGTGGTGGTGAAGAAAAAAATAAATATCTTCTTAAGTTTAAATTCAAATAGATGCTTCCTCCTCCAAGGAGGGGGCAAAACAACAACAACGTCTAAAAGGTTTCTCCCCTCAAACAGAGGCCAAAGAGGAAGGGCCTTGGAAATCCACAGGTAAGCACTGGATGTACCAGGCTCTGTGTCCTCGCCACCTTGCAAGATGTATGGGGAAGACCGGAACGACCATTGTCACCTGTGACGGATGAGCCCTGGTGGCCCAATGGGTTACGCGTTGGGCCACTAGTCACAAGGTCAGTAGTTCAAAACCACTGGTCACTCCTTGGGAGAAAGAGAAGGTTTTCTGCTCCCGTGAAGTCTCGGAAACCCACTGGGGCAGGTGTACCGTGCCCTACAGGGTTGCTAGAAGTTAGAACCAACTTGCCAGCAGTGGATTCTTGTTGCTTGCTCGGCTGACCCCAAATTTCCTTAAGCAATCAGAAGTGCACCCAGAGAGCTACCAACAGCCAGCCCTTGGGCAGCTGCACTTCAGCTAAACCTGAACGTGATCCCCAACCCATCAGCTTGACAAAGCAGTGACAGCTTTGAAGGCTGTGGAGTGGGGGCACGCGGTATTCCAAGGGCTGAAACGATTTCAGAACTCCCCATTTACACAACTCTCGTGAGGCCCAGATCAGGGACCCTGCCTTTTTGTGGCTCACCGGTCATGCACTTCCCATTTTGTTCAATTATTCAGTAAGAGGTATCTTCCCAGTTAAGCTTGCCCATCTCCACAGGCCATTGACTTACTGGGCTCCCACCCTGGCCAAACACAAATAAACAATGGACAAGAGCAAATGCACAAACAAAACCTAGAAATACTTTTGTACTGCTCTGAATTTCCCACTGGATGGAATGTGCTGAGTTTGAAAGAGGATAAGAATGTATAGATAGATTTGTCTTCTTTGCAAGCTTTTATTTCATTCTACTTGAGGGTTTTTAAAATCTCTCTTCTTCTGGCTATAAAGATAGCACCCCATACTTGCAATAAAGGAAATGCAAATTCAAATTACACTGCATGTGCTACAGCAACACAGAAACACACACACACACACACACACACACACACACACACACACGAGAGGATGAACTTACTACATGGAAATTATACTATATTGAGTTTGACAGAATCATTGTAAACTTTTTAAAAGGCACTTAAAAGTAGATTAGTAGACATCTGTTTCATTTTGATACATGTTCCTTGAGGCTACAGGGAAAACGAGTTCACTTTTGTACGTTGGTCAGCCATGGAGATGGAAGGTGGGTGTGCCCTGGTGGCATAGTGGTTAAGCAGCTGGGCTGCTAACTGCGAGGTCAGCAGTTCAAAATCACTAGGCGCCCCTTGGGAGAAAGGTGAGGCTTTCTACTCTCTGAAGAGTTAAGGGTCTCGGAGACCCACAGGGCAGTTCTAACCTGTCCCATAGTGTTGCCACGAGTCAGCATCAACGTGATGCAGCATTTTGGGGGTGGGGGTGGTGTCATGTGGGAGGTGACACAGTTGGGTACCCTGGAATCAGACAGTAAATGGAACTCTTGATTGTGCGCCTCAGAATTGTCTTTGTTTTCTGGAACAGCCACGACCGTTTGCGTTTGAACTGCATGTCTGGAAGCAATCCAAACGTGGCCATGGCATGGAACATGTGGTACGTCCAGACAAGGGAACATCAAGCAACTGTAAAAACTGAATGAAGGACTCTGGATATTTATACACCGTGTGACCTGTGTGGTCTTTCTGCAGAGAACATAAAGTGCACATTTTTGACTTTTGCAGAAAGAAGCTCTGGAAGTACACCAGGCCGTCAGTTGTCACCTGTTTAGGGGCTTAGTGAGGCACAGGAATAGGGTCCACATCCCCACTGGAGGATGGGGAGATATTTCACGGTGTCATAATTTCTGCCAACTGTTAGGCTGGTGGTTCAAACCCACAAGCCTCTTTGGGTAGGAAAGATGAGGCTGTCTGCTCCCATGAAGATTCACAACCCCAGAAATCTTATGTAATGTCTCTATGAGTCATAACCGACTTCATGGCCGTGGGTTTCGCTACATTATTTACCACTGATTGTACTACCTACAAACCTGTTTAGAAGAGAAGAAAAGGTCTAACGTATTAGAGTAAGCTGAGCATGAAAAACAAAAGAAAATATTATCAGTTCACTAATAATAAATTTGAAGGAGTATTTTGAAAACAAACTACTGAAAAGGAAAAAGAGAAACCCCACAACTTAAAAGAAATCTAATCAGTAAATAAATTGAATCTCTTTTCTTCCCGCTGACAAAAGTACCAGGCCGGTATAGTGTTATAGACCATGTCATGTCATCTACTACAACCTCTTTTGTCTTGCATTGAAGACAAACATCACAATCTAACAAAGAAAGAAACACAATGACTATTCACCAGCATACAGTCATCTAGCTAGAAACACCAAGCCACCCATGGAAAGAAAACCCTTACAGTTAATCTGATGGCTCAGTAAGGGGCGAACGCGGGCCAATCAAATACTGCTACCTTTTCCATACATCAGAGATAGCCAACAGGAAGAATAAGAAAAGGCACCTTCCATTTACAACAACAAAAAAATCATATAGTACTTGGGAACGATCCTAACAAGAAAATTACGGGGCCTATCAACTTTCATTTTCGATCTAAACCAAAAAGAAGAGGGAGGCAGAGAGCGCACCAGGCGGAAACAAGTGAGAGTCCTGTGATGGAGAGAATGCGTCACTCTCAGAGGATAAGACCAGGCAGACCTTAGGGAGGGAGCATGAAGACCTGGTGGTTTAGTGGATGAACACTGAGGCTGCTAGCCACAAGATGAGCAGTTCAAAGCCATCAGCCACTCTGCGGGAGAAAGGTGAGATTGTCCGATAACCATAAAGCATTACGGTCTCTGCTTTGTTCTATGCTATAGAATCTATAGGTTCCCTGTGAGTCAGAACTCCACGACAGTGACTTTAGCTCTTGTTTGGGGAGGGAAAGTGACCAGGAACAGGAAGGGGACAGTCTGCTGATGGGGTGTAACAGTCTGCTACTGGGGGTGAAATGATGGGGTGGGGGGGCTATAGGGGAAGAACGCACCATTTGAAGAAAGGGATCAATGTGACTGAACCGTACAGGTAGATGCTGAGATGGCCGGTAGTGTCCATGTCCTTTCAGCATCGAAATAACAAAACAGCACTTCCTGGCTGGGTCCTGTCCTCTGCGGCCCTCCCTTCTCCCGGCCTCCTTTCCAGGGATACTCTGCTGCGGATCCAATTCCAACTCAGGGCCAACCTGTAGGAGAGGGCAAAACTGCCCTGGTGGGTTTCTGAGACCATAACTCTTTACGGGCACAGACAGCCTCCTCTTTGTCCGGAGGAACCGCTGGCGGTTTTGACCTGCTGACCTTGAGGTTCACAGCCTAACAAGTAACCCACCCATGATCATAAAAATGACCGACCCACTCTGAATACAGGGCACCTCCTAAGGCCAGG